CACCGTGCTTTGGCCATGGGGTCTTGTGTCACCAGCTCCAGGTGACCCTGCCTGGGCAGAGAGGTTGGACAGGATGACCTCCAGAGGTCTCTTCCATCCCTAGCAATCCAGTGATTCTCTGCCTGAAGCCACCACGTGTCTGCCCGTAAATACCATCACCTTTATTAAATTATAAACCCGTAAGCTTTAAAATTTACCATATAAAATAATCACAGGTATTAACAGCAAAGAAAAAAATAACCATTTTTTTCCCCAGACACAGGAATTTGCTCAGATTTTACCCAAAATAATCCCCCCCACACTTCTGCAGGCACCAAGGCAGCCTGGGCCAGGGCAGCAGTGGGGGGAGCAAAGCAGAATCAATGATCAAACACAAAATGAACAATCACGTCAGCAGGATTTCTCGCCCCAAAGCTTCTCCTGCTTTGCAGCATGGAAGCCCCTGAAGGAAAAGGCCCAACAAGGAATTATTGCTTTCTATGGTAACCAGCAGCACCCAGGCCACAACGGTGGCATCAGGCCACAGCAGCAGTGCAGACACACTGATGGCACCTGGGTCACATCAACGGCACCCACGTCACACTGGTGGCACCTGGGTCACACCAGTGGCACCTGTGTCACACTGGCAGCCCGCAGGTAACACCAGCAACACTCAGGTCACACCAGTGCCACCTGGGTCATACCAGGCCACACTGGCATCATCTAGGTGACACCTGGGTCACACCAGCAGCACCTGGATCACACTGGTGGCACCCACATCACACCAGTGGCACCCAGGTCCCACCAGGTCCCACTGGCATCACAACAGGTCACACAGATGGCACCCAGGTCACACTGGTAGCACCTGGGTCACACCAGGAGCACCCACATCACACTGGTGGCACCCGGGTCACACCAGCAGTACCCAGGTCACACTGGTGGCACCTGGGTCACACCAGTGGCACCCAGGTCACACCAGCAGCACCCACATCACACCGATAGCACCTGGGTCACACCAGTGGCACCCAGGTCACACCAGCAACATCCACATCACACTAATGACACCCATGTTGCACTGGTGGCCCCTGGGTCACAGCAGCAGCACCCAGGTCACACAGGTGGCACTCAGGTGGCACTGCTGGCCCTGGGTCACAGCAGCAGCACCCAGG